CCTGCTGCGACTTGTTGGATGTTGTATGAAAATTGACAGCACAGAATCTTCCATTTGCCAGGCCTGTGGCCCGCACGACCGGTAGCCTCAACATCTCGTCAAACTATCAACACCACAGTTGCAGTCACACTTTATTATGTAATAAACAAACTTCGTAAATCAATGGCGAATTAACCTAACTGAAAAACTATAAATAAGCAATAAGGACATATATTTTCGAGATATAAACGTTGTCACAGGCAGTAACGAACGTCTTTACGAGATATCCCGATAATTGAGAGTATTCTTACATATGAGTTACACTTCTCAATCGAATGAAATGATCACAACCATTTTTTAAATACCTTCTCTAGACGTCAGAAAGACCTAACAATCCGCGCTGAGCTCATGATGAGCAATGGCGAATAGGCGAATTCGATCGAAGAATGCAATTGCGGCTGTGTTTCGATATTCACTACCAGTATGAAAATCTACGGTTTACATCACATAGGCTGCGGTCGGAGAGACGCTAGAAATGCTTCGAAGCGTTTGATTGACCAATCAGGACAAAGAGAATAAAGATTTCTTTATTCTAATTGGTTAATGCAATGCTTCGAAGCATTTCTAGCGTCTTCTCGACCGCAGCCATAATGGGCGCGTTCAGCAGAGAAAACCGCTCAGTAGCAGTCGAACGTGATTGGCTCTTACTTTTAGAATCAACGTCGAGTGTTGACAAGACGATAACTGAGCGCTCTCTCTGCTGAACGCGGCCATTGCATCGTCTTTGCCAATAAAAAGTTTGAATTCATAGTAAAATATAGTGATTAATTGAACCGGGTTGGGTTAAAGCCTATCACACACAAATTGGCATAGCTGCATATGCATAGCATAAGACCGTCTGGACCAATGAGTATCGAAATAAAATCACCATATTGATTTACATAGCATCCTCATTGGTCCAGACGGTCTTATGCTATGCATATGCAGCTATGCCAATTTGTGTGTGATAGGCTATAGGCTTAAGGGCCAATTTCACCAAGTCCAGTTAGATTAATCGACGGTTAAAATTAGCAGGGTGGCCAACAGAAAATAGAGGTGAAGGAAAACCAAGCATTCTTATCATTTCAGTTGGAACCCTGCTAATTTGAATTGTCGGTTAATCTAACCGAGCTTGGTGAAATTGGCCCTAACCCGTTCATCCGAAAACGCTTCAGGGCCAATTTCACCAAGTCCGGTTAGATTAACCGACGGTTAAAATTAGCAGGGTTCCAACTGAAATTATATGAATGCTTGGTTTTCCTTCACCTCTATTTTCTGTTGGCCACTCTGCTAATTTTAACCGTCGGTTAATCTAATCGAACTTGGTGAAATTGGCCCTCAGAGATTTCGATCGGTGATTTCTTATCTTTATAAATTTCTCTCTTATCTCTGCAAATATTAATTGAAAAATTAATTTGTCGATTATATACACGGACGAAAAAAATCGACCAAAATCATCTAAGGCTGTGTTCCGATTCCCCACCCGGATGCACCCGATATTATAGTATACGTGACATATACTATAATATTATATACGTGACATATTATATACGTGATAATATTATATACGTTTAATATACGTGATAATATTATATACGTGGTATTATATACGTATAATATTATATACGTGACATATACTATAATATCGGGTGCACTCGGGTGAACACAGCCTAGGCTGTGTTCCGATTCTTCACCCGATGGTTGATAGTCGGGTGAGCGGGTGATGGGCGGAGTTTAACGAAAAGTGTCTGAGAGGATAATGGAATCAGATTAGCTGGTTGCATTTTCTCGCAATCTGTCGTTGTTCATTCTGATTGATCGCTGCTCGTTTCTCTCTATCTCTCTATCTCTGAAATTGACATTCACTAGATTTCACTAACACTAGATATTTTTCTGAGCCGGGTGCATCGTGTCCTGCAGGGGAAAGTGCACCGGAACGAACGTCACGTCGCTGCTCACGTCGAGTAGAATCGCCGCGCTCGCGACGCACGCAGCTCTCTCTTCCGGCGACCAGACGAAGGGGTCCCCGCTGTCTTGTCGTGCTCTCGGTCCAACGTCTAACTATTTACTCGTCCAGAATACGTTCTCGTCATGGCCGTCGGTGACCTGAAGACCGATAAGGGCGTCGAGGACCTCAATATCTATCTCGCCGATCGCAGTTATATCGATGGGTGAGCCTACTTCTAGCGTATTTCATGCGCGACTTCGATATGTCTCCGGTACACGTGCTTAACTTATCGCGGCATGTTGGCGGATTCTCTGTTCTCGTCTCGCCCGGTGTGATACGATATTTTCTCATAATGCCCCGATAAAGAGAACTTATTCCGATCATGAGTATCAGTCGCACTCTTTTTATTTACAGCCGCTGATCTCGCCGATCTCGCGAGGCGAATCGCGGCATTTCTAGTATCACGTATGGATATGTGTCACACAGACGCATACTCACACATACGTAGACACCGCAATCACGCACGCCTTACATTTATTTTTACATCTCTTTGTTCTTTTTTCTTTTTTTTTAAATATATACAGCTTTGTGTTTTTTCTTTAAATGAACCTATTGTATTCACTGTTACACTTTTGTGTATGTGAGAATCATATCTATTTCCACATACATATGGGAGAGTAAGAGAGATATTTGATAATTTTTTTCACAAATGTACATATAAGTCAAACTATTTTATATTTGTTACTCGATTATATATCGTATATATATCCTACCTTTTTGCATATTATATAAATAATATATATTGCAAGATAAAAAATATTTTATTCATGTTACATATAAATGGACGATCTTTCCTAGTTTAAATATTAATAAAAATCTAATGTAAAAAAGTCTTTATAAGTATATTTTTCTTATTCTCTTGTGTCTTTTCAAATTTTATATATTTATCTTTTATATCTATATTTCATTTACCTTGTAATTGGTAGAAAGAATGATAATAAAGTTAAAAAATTTGTATCAATTGTATCTATTATAATCTAATTAATATGTTAGAACAATATATAAGAAAATACATTAATCTTTATTTTTTGATAAATATGCCATATATGTTTTTGACAATGATATTCGAGTTGATAATAATTGGTGCCGACAGGGAGTTGCGCTACTGTATATACTGTGGCCGGGTGGTTTTTACGCTCTCCCGGGTGAATAGAGTGACAATTTGAACGTCTCACTATATTCGAGTTGATAATAATTAGCTTTAAAGTATAAAATGTATCGTATAAAAGAATTTACATTTAATAGGTGGCAACCAACTCAAGCCGATGTTGCAGTACTCGAGGCATTGGGAAAAATACCGACATCTTCGAATCCTCATGTACTCCGTTGGTACAACCATATAAAATCCTACGATCTTAAGTCGCTTCCTGGAGAAAAGAAAACTTCCATCTTTAGTACCGCTAGTGCTCCGACTTCGTCCACGGCAAAGGCGAGCGAAGATGATGATGATGTAGATTTATTCGGTTCGGACGAGGAAGAAGATGCGGAAGCCGCAAAAATCAGAGAGGAAAGGTTAAAGGCATATGCAGAGAAAAAATCAAAAAAGCCCGCAGTCATCGCCAAATCGAGTATCGTGCTAGATGTGAAGAGCTGGGGAGATGAAACAGATATGAAAGAAATGGAAAATGTGGTAAGATCGATCCAGATGGACGGCCTCGTTTGGGGTGCATGTAAGTTGTATTCACTTTATTGCTCTATCAATATATGCAGATTTATTATATGAACAAATTATTAAATAAATTTTATATTTTTACAGCAAAACTCGTCCCAGTGGGCTATGGCATAAACAAGTTACAAATAATGTGCGTAATAGAGGACGAAAAAGTTTCGGTGGACTTGTTGATCGAACAGATACAAGAATTCGAAGAACTAGTTCAATCTGTAGACATTGCTTCGTTCAACAAGATTTAAAAAACGAAAACAGCTCATTACTTTTAATATTGGAATAATAAATATTAATTGTTTGTATATATACATATAATTTGTTACTCTCTTAATACACCCGAAGAATACTCCTAGTATAGTTTAGAAATGATAATAATGTTGCTGAAGTTTAATTGCAAATTTTATTTTAATATTTTATGTATATTAGGCAGAGATGTTAATTAATGTATCGCATGTACATACGCAGCACACAAGAAAATTATCTTTCTACTTTAATATATCTTTGTGCACATTCTATCTGGACTCACTAGGTCGAGTTTTATTAAACTCCATTTATATCTAAATATGTCATTTGTGTGCCAAAGTAAATAGAATACAATATATAACTTAAAAAAAGTTTAAATTATTGATACTAATGTAAAAGCTTTAATTGCAATTATTAATAAAGCAAGACATTACGATTTTATACGCAAAGATATTTTTTGTAACATGGAAAATACATCGGAATTATTATACAATAGTTATTGACTTCAATTTTAGCATACTGAATTTTAGATATAATCTCACAATTATATCTTGTCATATTTAATTTTTTTTTTTAACTCACCGAAATTACCGCCTCTTTTAAGATATCCGTCAAATGTGAGTCTATTCTTAACCAAGATTTGTTTTTGATGGTGCATCATTTTTCAATCATTTATGTTCGATGATGTATATTATAATGACAAAGATATACAATATTTCTTCATATTCTTAGCACATCAAATAGATTCGTTGATATTATATAAACTGATGAAAAAATCTATTGTGTATAATCCACATAATTGTATCTCATTACGTGTATTCTTTTCTGTTGAATCATATTCAATTTGTCCAAATTATATTTCGCCGAAATTATAATGCATGATATTTTTATAGCAATGTTGAATATTATGTGTATGTATATATCAAAAGGATATTTTATATATTATACGAGAATATTTGCGTGTGTGTGTAATATGCACATGTATTATATATTATACATTTTATTGCACATATATACACATATATAACACATTAAAACTCAAGTTTTTTTATCTCGCATAATATAATATTTCTAACTTAATTTCTCTCAAGATTTATTTGTGTTCAAATTTTTCTAATTCTGCAACAACTTTTTAACATGCTTTAAAAATTTTGAAAGATTTACGAAATCATTTCAATACGATGTTCGTTATCAGTTTCGTACAACAGAAAGAGGAAAAGTAGCTATAACAAGAAAACAATTTGGAGACATAGTGTGGAACGAGAGTTTTTTACAGACAGTATATATACCGTTTGCATGATATGATATAACGGGAAATTTAGAAATTTATCTGCATCAGGCGAATACATACACCGATTAATTATTCATGTTTCATATATATATATATATATATATATGTGTGTGTGTGTGTGTATGTATACTATATATATATATTCTGTTTATACATTTATTAGGAAGAGTGGAGTTCCCTCGCTCATTGATTTCGTAATGTGCGTCACTGTGGGAATTTCAACGAATGATTTCAGCTGATATAGTAATATTCCAATACAAACTTGTTTCCGAGAAAAAGTTCATCAATTGTATAAGTCCGTAGACGAGAGCAAACGGCGCGCTTAGGGCATTGACATTGAACCTGAAGATCCGGTTATCGCGGTTCTCGCATTTCTGTTGCAAGTTTTAAAATAGCGAGAAATGTGCTTTGATATGTTTATGTTTAGAAAGGACGTTAGGAATCGCGAAAGAATGCAAGATTATCCAGAACGTTTCAAGGTTTGTCTCTTCTCACCATGAAATTCGAGATTAAGTCTCGGTATTTTATTTCTTATCTTCCAGTTTTCTTTTTTCTATTGCAGATTTCTTTCATATGTATCGACACGCGCGCTGGCGCAGACATTTATGCTGCAGGATGTGTGAGGATCGCGAAAAGTTACGAGACTTGGTTTTTTAATATTCCGAGCTTTGCAAGTTTCGAATAGAAGAGCATGTGAGATAAAAAAGGTACAATGTGAAAACTATTCAAAAATATAGTTACGTTTTTACTGGCATTTCTTTTCGTGATTATAAATGATTATAGAGTGACTAATTATAAAGATTATTTGTATCTGTAAAAACGTCTAAAATTTATTCTAATTTTTTAGATTTTTCTGACTTGCGATTCTTGGAGAATATTTTTCGTGGAATACATTTTTCTTTGCTGCTAATAAAAAATCTTATTTAATGAATTGATTCATTGATGAATTCAATGATTTGATTAATTGAATTGATAATGCTCGGTCGTTTACCGAAGGACAGGACATTATTTAACCGCTCATTTTCAGTCACTTTCAGTTTTTATTTTCGTACTTTTGTTTCTCTTTTCCTCTCGAAACGATGATGACGACGAAATTCTCGTCCTTCGACGACAAACGCTCTCGCCTCCGTATCCTTGTCTCCATCGTACGACTGCTATCGCCGTATATAAGAAAGTGATCGTCGAGGACAGCTCGGAAAGCGCGGATCATCTTGCGACGAGCACAGTGCGCTAATATAGACACGTTATTTCTTGCGGATCAACGGCATCGAGATGTTCGCGGGATTTTCGTGGATCGTCGCGACAATAATCGCACTTTTTAGCGTTTGTACCTACGGTAAGCTATTGACATTTTTTCTATTTTCTACTTAATAGGAGAATTATTCATAATATGCAAATTTCCTTTAAATTCGCGGAAATTATAATTTAATCATTGTTGTTATAGATAAGTAAAAAATAGCAGCATTGCTATTAATTAGTAATAAATTTGTAGAAAATACGAGTTAGAATAACGTTTAATTGTGAAATGAAAAAAAAAATGATTTAAAACGGAACAAAGTCGTTGATAAAAATCGAGATATAAATGATATTTTTCAAAATCTTCAAATAATAGGGCAAAAGTATAATATTGGATATTCAAAGTTTGATCAGAACTCGAGTCGAATTCGAATCTGTGATTCGCGGATAATAATTCAATAATTTGATTAAGAGATTTTCGATTATAAGCAAAATTGTATAATGCAAAATAAGTAACTACTTTTTCGTATAATTGTAGTATATAAGTTAATCTTTTATCGATTAATGTCCGATTAATTTCTTCGAACACTCGATAAAACTCTTTTAAAGTTATCTAAACTTATCGAATAAATAAAATTAAAGAAATGAAAAAATTTGCAAAATAAGTTTCTATCAATTTACAATTTGCATGTACTATTATTTTTTATAATGATTACATCACGGCTATCTATTTTTACAATTTACATAAACGATTTTTTTTGTTCTAAAAGTCTAAATCTTTTTTTATTTTAGTTTATATTACACTTATTGCGATATTTAAGCAATACCTTTTCATTAGAATTATATACGTTTTAGTGCGAAGCAATGTTCTCCATGGAGTTAAATTGGTTTGAAAGACAGAGATCTAATCACAAATCTGTAGACTTTACTGTTAGTCCCAGGAATTTTTAATATCTGCGTGCCGTTAATAATAGCCCGCGTGTATATCGGAGTTGTTTAAAAATATTTTTATGATCGCGTCCTTGACCATTAGCCGATCTTGCGACAGCTCTCTTATAGCGTTTTCGAATGAAGCAGGTTTGATCGCTCTGAGAGAAATCCAATTTTCTATGAACATATGTTTCACCGAATGAGTTTTGAATTTGATTAATATAAATAAATATATCCCTAGTAACTCAAGACGATGTTTATGACATCAATTGCTCTCAGAACAATCAAACCTGCTTCATTCGAAAACACTATTATTCCATCTTTCCAAGATCGAGCTTTTTCCTCCCATACACTTGTGCTAATTCTGATATGTATAATTTATAAAGAATATCATATTATTCTTTTAGAGAAGTAGTATCTAGTAAATAACATATGCAAATTTTTTTAAAATGTATGTTCTTGTTAAAAATGAGAAATTGCTAAACTATTCTTTTTCCTTCTCTCTTTCTGAATGTACATTTTTTATAATAGTTAATGACTACATAATACTACGAGTTACGTATATATAATTACGGTACTATTACAAGTCCACTAGCGATGTTATGTTTATAACAAAAATTAAATGACTAACAATAAGATAATTATCGTATGAACTCCTCGTTCCGTTTTATGTTTCTAATGGGTACAAACTTGCGCTCGAATTGCGATGGATATTATGATTATTGTTTTTTTTAAACAATGTTTTAATGATGCATCTTTGATGACGAATGTAAAAATTACAGTTGCGGCGAAATCAAAATTAAGATAACGATGAACTGTAATTGTTTTTATTCTAATGAGATAAGCGTTTTTTTTAGATCCGTTGTGTTTCGTAAATCGCTTTTGATAACTTCATTAAGTGCAATTATGATATGCTGTGATGCTGTGATTGTATCAACTATCATTGCGATGAAAAGTTTCGATTAAAAATGAAAAATATTAATAATAATATTAGCTACAAAATGAAAGCAATATTCCTAAATCGCATATTAATCTCAGAGATGAATATTTTACAAATATTTAATACTAATGTGTATATTTTTTAAGCAATCTAGACATACCGAGTATCGATTATGACGACGAAAGATTTAACATAACGGTATTGACGGTGATAAAATCCGTGATTACGAATTCAAGACCAAGATTGCTTAAAATGAATTAACTGAATTGAATTCTGCATTAGCTTATCGTAAATTTATTAAAGAAATGGAATAGGATGATTCTTTTTCGCGCGTTTTATTTTGATAAAATATTTATTCTCGATAATATATTTTGAAGAAAACGTAGAGATATAAGAATTGCATTATACAGATCCTAGAATGTGCAAAATTTTGATTACAAATAATTTGGCGATATGAATGCAGAATATTATTAAAACGCGAAATTGACAGAGCAATATTATCGCATAACACATTTCATTCAATAGTTCTGGAGAGATTCTAGATTTCGAACAATCCGCTCTCCCCGCTTGACTTGATTAGCTATAAAAATGGCAAAGGCGAGATACGATCTGAATATAAGATCGAACCGAAGAGGTTTTCATCGTAGCTTGTCGTGGCGCGCGTCTGAACAAGCTGCAATTTAAATTCATAGACTGTTCTAAGTTATATTTTTAACCGTGACGCTGCAAAACCACCGCGCCCATATACAGAGCAGGTACAATACAATAAGACGCGATCCCGAAAATATGCCGATTCCACACATTCGCAGAGATCTAACAAACGATTTTTTGGGTGTTTTTTATTGTTATTACTACTCCCAAGTTGTGCCATCCTGTAAAACCGGTTTAGATGATTAAATTCTGGTCATATAAAATCCTAACAAGAAAATAGTCCATTGTACAATAAGTCTTTACAGAATAGAGAAATTCAACGAATCTGCTTCAATTATCATTTATTATAATATTCTATCATTATTATGTTATTGTTATTATTAATTATGAATTCGTCGATCTTCTCACTAAACTTTTCTTTTTGAGTAAACTTTTACATATACAGTGATAAGGTACCCGCTAGGACATTACATTTTTATACATTAATATTTTTTTTTTTCATTACAGCTCAAGAATCTGCTTCGTCCAATCAACAACTTGTGTCACAAGTCTGCTTAGGCTGCATATGCGAAGTTACTTCGGGATGTAACACCACTATCGGTTGCTATGATTCGGTTTGCGGACCCTTCGCTATAACATGGGGCTACTGGTCTGATGCTGGCAAACCAACTCTAAACAACGAGCCGAGCAGTACCGATGGTGGTGAGTTAAGTTTTTTTATATAAAAAGAAAACTGCTTTTGAATATCTATTCGAATACCATAATTCTATAACTCTTTAATGCTTCATAGCTGTATTTTCTTCTTTGTTTTGCTCTATCTCTCTCTCTAATTGAAATAGACAAATGTATTACATTATACTTTAAAAAAAAAACGACATAAAGAAAGAGCGTTGACGAATGTATAGAAAGCGTAGCTAAAAAGGGAAATCCGACTAAAACTTAAAATAAAAATTATATGCATCAATTCAAAAGATTGATATCAATCAGTAATTCAAGAATGCATTAAATGAAGGCTTCTGAGAATTCGTATAACATTAGTTAGATAAATATAAGAATGAACAAATATGCGATATTTCTCTGCAAAAATATTTATCTAATTAAGTAGTTTTCCTTATCAAACATATATGTTTAATTTGCTTAGAACCTGAAAAAAGAATACGAAATATATTGCTCTTCTCTCATACAAAATTACATAATTCAAACATCAATTAAATGACTGTCTATTTCTCTTTTTCAGTTTAGTTTCTGAAAAAAAAGAAGGAACGTGAAATTTAAATACTTATACTTAAATTATATAAAAGTACAAATAGAAATTTTATAATAATAATATGTAATAAATATTTCTTCTTTTCACTTCTAGCTTATCCCCGATGTGTCAACGATCCTTATTGTGCTGCTCGTGCGATACAAGGCTACATGGCCAAATTCGGTCAGGTAAAATCACATTTCTTGTAT